GGGAGGTAGCTTGCCCTCCTGACCTTCTCCTCCCCAGCCTTGGCGTAAAAAAAGACCAAAACAATTCTGTTTGTATTTATAAGAGCAAAGTATTTATTTTATTAAAGAGCGAAAATGTCGTCTTTTGTGAAAGGTAAGCTGATGTGCTTTGTAATTTTTTTTTCACTCTTCACCTGTGTGTTTGTAGATTTTTTCCTTTTTTAAAAAATCTTGCTCTCTCCAGCAGCCCGGTATAGTGCAGGCAGTGGTAGGTGCAGCAGCCCGATCGGCAGCCGAGTTGCGACATGCAAGGGTTTCCCCAAAGTGGTGTTTCTTATTGGGCAGCAGGGCCTCTGCTGCTTCTGCTCTACTCAGTATGCTTACCTCGGTGGATTCGTGGCTCTCTTGTACCATACCTTGTACCGTACTTCATACTGTATCATACCTTGTACAGTACCGGTGCACGGTGAAAGCTGGCAGTTGTAGCAGCAGGGTTCTTATCCGGGGCTGCTGCACAGGCAGGATCTGGAGTGTACAGTCTCGCAAGTGCAAATCTGCCCCTTCCACTAAGCTGTCTGTTAAGGTTGGGGGAGAAAGAGCACTGAGGTCGAGTGTCTACACCTCCTTTTAGAGGCTTAAGTGTATTTTGGCGTTTTCTGATCCTGATAGGCTCCGGCACTCTCCTTTACTCTGTGTGAGCATGTGTGTACGTGGTCTGAGTTTCAGATTCCTTTATTGCAAAACGGGGAACTAGCCCACAAGAGGTCATTCCATGAAGAAAAATGACTTTGGTGCATTGCTGTGGCAGTTTTCCTCCTTTCCGATATTCTTAGTGGTGCGTGAGTGCTTTTTGTGATGAAAACTGTGCCTGTAGGTTTCCTTAGTGTCAATCTGCGCAGGCCTATGAAGAAACGTAATGCTGCCTGTAGAAAGAACATGAATGGGTCTTTTGCTGTGCAAGCCTGGATGTTGCAGGAAACCGAGGGCCTTTGCAGGCTTTGGGAAATTGCCGTCCCTCACCCAGTGGATGTCTCGGACTTGTGCAACACTTGCTGCGTAAATGTATCAACTGCCTGCGAATGTCCTGTGGCACCTGGCAAAATGCAGAGAGCTGAAAGCAGGGAGTGTTACAGCCACGTTGCTCAACTGTCCGTGCTGAAAGTTGTCAAGATAAGCCCCTTCTTGCTGTGAAATGCATTACGAAAATATGTTCTGAATCGTTCTTTTTTAATGGAATTGGCTTATCTCAGCCTGCTGCTGAAGGTAGCCATCTTGCAGGCAAGTGATATTATTTATGAAACTGAAACCTGGAGAAACCTATGTAAAGATCATAACCAGTTTTAAAAATGTGACCAAGTATTCAATAATCTGAAAAGCTATTCTGAATGAAGTATCCACCATTTAAGCACGCTTTTATCAAACCAGTAGTACTAAAACGTGTTGCCAAAGTCAAGTGATATTTTTACCATGAGGATCAGCTGCTAGACTGAGAAATCCGGCTGCATCTGACCGTAACACCTGAACTCTTGGTGTGTGCAGCTGGCAAGAATGACTTCCTCGCTTGCAACTTTCCAAGTTAGCTCAGGCTAATGTGCTCATCTGTTAAGGAGAGAGAGTGCATAGGTTTCACTTCATGTATGCTTCAGTCTGACACATGTTGACAAATCTTGCCTCTAGTAGTAGGAAAAGAAAAATGTTTGTAAAGGCTGAGTGGGTACGTTCAGTTCTAAAAATCAGATGAAGTAATATTTATTAGCATGATGTGTTATAGTGTGGATATTTAAAGAGATTTTTATCCTCGTCAGGGATAAAAATTGCCTTGAACTTTCAGCGGAGTTGGTGGGAGTTAAGGCATGCACGCTGTGCCCTTAGCACAGGGTTCAAGGATATAGCGTTTAAAGTTCAGCTGCATGTTTTAATTTACCAGCCACCCTTCCTGATTTTTATGCAAGTAGTCCGGCTACAAGGAGACCTAAATAGTTTTCTGTTGTAGGTCTTTCTGTATACTTAGTTGGATTGCAAAACTGATCACAATTCATAACCCTCAGTCCAAAAGATTGCCGGTTTATTCATGAGAGAGGGGACTTCTTGCTTGACTTGTCCCACGACTCCATCCTGCGCTCGGTCCTTGTACCAAGGCAGTGAAGTTCACTTCTGAATGAATTAATGAACAAAACTAATCAATCTTAATGCCTTCTCCATTTTAGTGTAGAATAACGGGAAGGGCAGCAGAAAGGAAATGCGTACAAACCAGGGGTCACTGCTCTTCTGTTCTTGTGCAGTTTTCCTGAGGACTTCTGTCCTTTATTTTGTTTCTGATAGCATATAAAGACATTTTTGTTAGCTGGATCTTTCATATTTTGTTCATACATCAGTTATGAAGTTATGTATCATAAATCTGCAGATACTGTGCCATAGGCTGTAGTTGGTGCTGTGAGGGCAGGGGGCAGGTTAGCAGTGAGAGCAGAGCACAAAAACATGCTAGAAATAACAGTGGGGGCAGGAGGGTTTGAGTGAAGCTCTCCACATGTCAGACACCACCGCAAACTTGATTAAAGAGCTCGCCTTTCTCTGCTACTTGAGGACGCGCTTCCTACTGGAGACATTAAAATAAGGTATCCTGGGTGGTCATTTTTGCAAAGCCCAACGTTTTCTGAAGCCTTGACTATTTAATAATTCTTTTCTGTTCTGTGCTAATTTTCTGCCCTTGAGTCTTCCACTACCTTATCCCCACCCTTTTCTTCCTTCAGATGGGCGTTCAGGAATACCGGTCCTGTAAAAGTGAGCTTAGGCTGAAATCTGAGGCGTTGGTTGTGAAATAGCTTGGAAAAGGCATTTCTTTTTAAAAATAATTTGGCAGTTTATGGCTGCACGTACCCTTGGAAATCTCTTCCTGCAGTTATCCAACAACCCTGCCTCCTGTCTGATTTTTAGAGGCACAATAACTACTTTTCACTACAGCCTTAGGAAGTTTTATTTGCCTGTAGGAAATAACTGCTTTCAAATATGCAGTGGCACTGGCCTTTCTACTTCCTCATTGCTACTAGGGTGAAAAGAGAAATCAACCTTCACATGGGGTGTTAAATTAGCAGAAGCTCATGCTGAAGGACTGCAGTTGTCTTTCTGCTGGTGGTAGGCTGAGGTGCATAAATACCAGCTTCTTTCCCAAAAGCTCTGAGAGGCAGCTGCACAGGAACAACTCGTGCTGACTTCCTTGATGTTTGGACCAATGCTGCTGTTGCATTCTGGCTTTGGGGGAGCCTTTAGGGAGTGTCGCAGATCCCCATGCAGTCCAAATCCTGGTGGACATATCTTAAGATAAGTGCTTAAAAGCCTCTGCCTTGCAGTGGCAGGTTAAAAGCAGAGGCTTTGGGTTGCTATTTCTCTTGGCTGCTTAGTTACAGCATTCAAATTCTTACATACTCAGAACAGATACTTTTCCTACATCAGGCAAACACATGTTTTTATGGATGCCAGCACTGTCCTTCCTCTCTCTTT